TGCCTGTCCTCAAGGACGTCCGTGCCAAGGGCACACTCACCCCCGACGGACGGAGGACAGACAGACTCAGACTCAGCGACAAGACTAGCAGCGTAGTCTAGACGACAGCGAGCAGCAAAGTCGACAAGCTCAGCAACTAAGGCAGACGCAGCAGTGGACTCGAAGGAAGGGTCAGTGACGACAGTAGCAAGGAGACGCGTGACAGTAGGACTGGCAGCACGAAGGGAGTCCGACTCTGGGTCAGCAAGAGCAGGAAGAGAGGACTCAGGAGGAGAAGGCAAAGGGGCACGCAGCGGAGCAGTGGAAGGACGCAGAGACATCCGGTGCGTGCCGGGGACAGGGGGAGGACGCTGACGCGAACCACGACCACTAGTGCGAGCAGCACGGACAGGCGACGCAGGACGAGACGCAGGCTCACGACGCTCAGCAAGACCTCCAGTAGGACCAGTGTAGGGAGAAGGAGCAGGCAGTGGGGAGGCTGGCTGTAACTGTGACTCAGACTGGACAGGCGGCGGACACTCTAAGAGAGGAGCAGGACTAGTAGAGGGCGGAAGACCAAGAACCTGCTCAAGGAGCGAAACGAAGTACGGCCGCGGCCGTGCAGCACCCTCAGAACCAGCAGGAACAGCACCAGCACCACTAACAGCAGCACCAGCTCCAGTAGCACCCCCAGCTCCAGAAGCGCCAGCAGCTCCAGCACCAGCACCCCCAACAGCAGCACCAGCTCCAGTAGCACCCCCAGCTCCAGCCGCGCCAGCAGCACCAGCTCCAGCAGCACCAACACCAGCACCCTCAGAAGCACCAGCACCAGCAGCACCTCCAGCGCCAACACCCCCAGCAGCTCCAGCTCCAGCTCCAGCACCTCCAGCAGCTCCAGCACAAGGATTACCCGCAGGCCCAGCAGCTCCAGTACCTCCAGTACGAGCACCTCCGGGACCCGTGGCACCAGCACCCTCAGCAGCAGTAGAACCTCCAGCACCAGCAGCACCTCCACCTCCAGCAGCACGGCTCCAGCGCCGAGCAAACCACTCGCGCAGCTCCTGTGGAGAGAGTAGCTCTCGCCGGGACGAAGCACCCGAAGGACCTCCAGGCCCAGTCCCTCCAGATGTCACACGAGCAGGCTCAGCACCCCCAGGCTCCGCACCCCCAGGCTCAGCACCCCCAGGCTCAGCACCCCCAGTCTCAGCGCCCCCAGAGTCAGCACCCCCAAGCTCAGCACCCCCAGGCCCCGCACCCGCAGGCTCAGCACCCCTACCAGCACCAGAGTCAACAACTACCTTGACAGGCTCGACTGCGTCTACCTGGGACACACCTGAGGGGGCAGGACCCTGAGGGGGGAGGGGGTCTACCGGGGGGGGACCTGGCGCGAGGAAGAGCGGCGGCGGGGGGAGGGACGCAGTGCGGTAGGGGAAGAGACGGTAGTAGGGAACCGACTCGTCAAACGTGACGTCCTGAGAGGACAGAACACGACGCGAGGTGGGGTGGTAAAACTGCCAACCAGGCGCGTCAGGGGGGAAGCCAAGGAAGACGCAGGGAACAGCACGAGGGGGACAGCTTGTCCGCAGACAAGTCGCGGACAAACGCCCGAGATCCCCAGACACGGAATGCAGACGCATCGCCAACCTTCCCCGTCCACTGCAGAGCAGGGGAGGTCTCCGGCATGGAGACCCGGGGCTGAAGGTTGATCTGATGCGCCGCGTACTGAACCGCGAACGGCCACAGAAAATGGGGGGCAGCCGCATGGATCATGGATGTACGGGCGACGTCCATGACCATGCCAATGCGGCGCTCAGCAATCCCATTTTGCTGTGGAGAGTCCGGAAGCGTGAACATCTGGCGGATGCCTCGTGCACGACAGAAGGCTCGCAGAAGGTCAGAGGAGAACTCTCCGCCTCTGTCGGAGTGCAGACGCAGAACAGGAAAGTCCGAGCCGAAACTCTCTCTGAGCTGGAGACGAGGAGTGCGGATCCAGTCGATCAACACCCCAGTGACCTCACCCTTGCTGCGCAAGGGGAAGACTGTGGTGTAACGCGAGTAGTCGTCAACCACCAGCAGGAAGTAACGCTCGTGACCCTGTCCACGGACGCGGGCTGGGCCCCACACGTCCATGTGAAGCGTCTGCAGTGGAGCCTCTGTCGGAGGAAACTCGGAGGAGTGAGGAGCAGCGCGCTGCCGCCCCTCGACGCAGAGAACGCAGGTAGGGGCGGGCCCCGGAGGAAGAGGAGGGAGGGACCGGGGGAGACCAGAGACAAGGACACGGGAGGCCATGCCTCGGAGACGAGGCAGGGAGGGGTGGCCAAGGCGGTGGTGCCAGAGGAGAGTCTGGTGAGACAGGAGACGACACGAGCAGGGGGCAGACTCAGGACCAGACCTGGAGGCCGCAGTAGACACCTGACCCGACGCAGCTACCTGACCAGACGCAGCAACCGGAGGAGACCCAGTAGTCAGTGTGTACAGGCTCAACCCCGGCCGACGGGTAAACGTGGCCAAGTGTCGGCCCGTCCGAGCACACGTGCAGTGGGTCACTCGCTGACTCGCAGGAGTGAACTGGTGAACCCCCCCATCCTGTAGATCAGCACCACTCACCAAGTTCGTAGAGAACGAGGGGAGGTAAAGACCTGACAGGGTGCCAGAAGGGGCCGCCGGACACGGTAAGACAGTGGAGAAGTGGGCAAGGACAGGACCCCCAGAGGGGTCTGCCAGGGAGACCGCAACTGGCCGACTAAGCGGCGTGAGTGTGGTGCGGTCTCGAAAGAAGGAGCGGGAAGCACCCGAGTCAAGGGTGAAGGTGTGGGAGGCCTGAGCCGACGTGGTACCTGAGAGAGCAGAGTCACCAGCACCTGGGGCAGCAGACTGACTAGCACCTAGAGCAGCAGCCTCACCAGCACCTAGAGCAGCAGCCTCACCAATGCCCGGGTCAGGCGGAACACACAGGTAACAGTCACCCTCATCACTAGTAGACACAGCATACATGGCAGCAAGAATAGCATCATAGTCAAGATCAAAGATAGCAACCCCCGCCCTAGACAGCTCGCCCCAGCGAGGGATCCTACACATCGCGAGTTCAAGTAACAAACTACAAAGAGCACTAAGGTTGGAAGCTCGTTGATCGCTATCACGGAAGGAAAGGGCACGAGAGAGGGGAGCTGTGACGGTCGTAATGTGGCATGAAAGCTCATGTACAGAGCTTGGCGGTGAGGATAAGGTTCATGTACGCAGTCGTCTCCGCCCTCGGCTATTGGTCTGAAATCATGCTTGAGCATGACCGTGGATTGGTCGCCTGGTAGTACATGACAGTGCATGATCGGTATCGAGGTACCACTCCCAGTCGTTGATACACTACCCTTAACGTTGGCGCACCCAAACGGTGCAAGTGCATGTTACTCTGGCGCGCAAATGAATTCACAAATGTTTCGACCAATAAGAACAATCACACGTGGCGAAAGTGTGAAGGCTGGTTGGAATTTAGAAATCGTGACTGTTTGTGAGTTTCAAGGAGTGCACGCGGCTGCCCGAATTTCGGTGGGGACGGGCGGGAAAAACGGGCCGGGGGGGCGGGGGGAAGGGAGGTCCATCCAATTTAGAAAAATGCCCACGTGGCGAGGGGGGAGCAATTTAGGTCGATTCTTTTGAGACAAACACGATTTCCGCCGATCCGCACGATTTCGCCATGAATATTCGACCACATTTTGACAGGCTGAATCCCAACTCCCATTCCTTCTTTTAGGGCCTTGTTCTGCAGGCGCATCAGGCCGCATCTATGTACATTGATGCCATTTCCCGGGGCTCCAAGATCTTTCCTTGATAACCTGCCAACAGGTTATCAAGGCTCGCGATAAGCGCATCAGAGCCGAGGCAGACCAAGCCAGAATGCCTGCAGAACGGCCTTTTTGGCGACCAAAATTTCCAATGTCGCCACGTTCTAAGATGTTTCTCGTCTTGGTAATCGGGCGCATTCGAAATGCGCGCATCATGCAACTTCAAAGGCGTTGTTCTGCAGGCGTTTAGGGTTCCGCACCAATTTGACCGCCGTAGCCTTCCGTGCATTTTCTAGGTGCATTCATGCTGGTTGCGTTGCGCGGATGTTGCTGCCTCGCATAACATGTGCGGAGGCTGATGCTAGCTCCCGAGGTAGAATTAGCACCGCACTAGTTATGCGACCATTTGCACGGCGAAGCAACAACTTCGAACCTGCAGACGGTTAAATTCGTGCGCCCCAAAAGTGGCGTTCTGCAGGTTGAAGCGTTAAATTTGGCGCAAACAGGTTCGGCAGGACCTTTCTTATCACCAAACCTTGATAGGCAGAAGACCGCTTATCAACGAAGATTCTGCGGACCCAGTTTTTGAAAATTTAACGCCTACAGAACAGCGCCAAAAAGTTGCTTCATGAAAAATCGCTGCAACCTCATTGGCCAATCAGTTTGGCACCTCCGAAATTCAGCAAAATCGAACTTCCGAAATTCAGAATGTTGAAATTCGTCAGGAAATTGAATGTCGAATTTCCTGACCTAAAATCAATTTCGACAAATTTTCCAAGCCTCAATTCGAAATGTCCGAACCTCAATTTCGCAATTTCCATTTCGCATTTTCCGAACCTCGATTTTCCAATGTGCGCATCAGTCCGAGCCTCTGGTGCATCAGAGCTGATGCGCCTGCAGAACACGGCCTAGGGAAACCATCAGTGAGCTTATCTCCATCCCCCCTGTAGGCATGCCAGCGTATTTCCCATGCTTTTCCTCTCCCCTGGATCCTTTCCGCAAACGATACTGTATCGTACTGAACAAACTCTAGTATAAAAGCAGGCATGCCCAATATACATCTGAAGCCATTAATGGACGAATGAAAAGCAGCAGCAGCAAAAAATTACCCCAGGTCATGCCTAAACAGCAATGCAAGTTTCCCCCAGTTGACACAACAATCCCAAATAGCTGGGATCAGAGAAAGTTGGGAAAAGAATTGCTCAAACTCTCCATCGATAGTCAACGGCCTTGCTGCTTGGATCAGGCAGTCCGCACGGCAGCAGGAATAGTGAGAGACGCGATGGCGTGTGCGCGAAGGGACACAACCGCATGGAATGGAGGGAGAAGGGACGGAGGGCGGAGAGATGGAGGCTTTGCCTGAGGAAAGAGATCGCCCAGAAGAGAGAACAAACTTGGGGCATTTAGGAGGGTCTCTCATAAACATGCCGACATCACCACCCTCCTCTTCCTTCTCCGATCCTGTTTTCATCCACTGTTTCCATTGCGAAAATAGCTCGCTCTGGCTGTGGTGGTGCTCGTGCAGTTGCAGCTGCAACCCCTCAGTGAACAGCATCCTTCCCATCTCTCTCCTCCTCACTCGCCTTACTCTTGACTGCCGCTTTCCTGCTTCCTCATCATTGCTCACTCCTCCTCCCCACTCTCCCCCTGCTCCCCTTCTCTCCCCCCCCTTCAGAGCAAGAGTAGAGCTGTACTTCTTTCCCTCGTCACCCCAGCACTGATGCCTTCCGCGCACGCAGTTTCCCCTTCCTGCCATAGCACGAGCTGCTGCTTCTGCTGCCGATGCGCGTTTCTGCTGCTTCCTTGCCACCGGCCTCGTCGGTGCCAGAGCTGCCCGCGTCACTGCTGATTCGCCTGCTGCTGCTGCAGCCGCCGTAGAAGGAGCCGTGTTGCTGCTGCAAGAGATGCTGCTCTTGCTCCTGTTGCTGTTGCTGTTGCTGCTGCTGCTGCTGCTGCTGCTGTTGATTATTATTATGCTGGTGACAATGCTGGCATTCCTCTTGTGGCTGCCTTCGACACATCGACTCTTGGCTGTTTTCATAACCATCCATGCCATTAACCACTGATCTTGAAACCAACCCTTGATCACCATTTCTACCCATACACCCCCCTTTTCGAATCATCATTCCCACCACCCCCCCCTCCACTTCCCCCTCCGCTTCCCCTGCCCCGCCCCCCTCCCTCTCCTTCCGTCCATCACATTCCCCCCATGTGACCCCCAGGGCACTCCCATCGAACCAGCCCCCCTCCCCATCCTCGTCCCCACACGTTTCCCATACCCCTCCCATACATTCCCCACCCCCCTCCCTCGTTCCCCCGCCCAGCGCTTCCCCACGCGCGGAACCTCCGCGCGCACCCGCGTTCCGCGCGGGAAGACACTGGCGCTTCGAGGAGAATGGAGGGACGTCCCATGACGACGCGACGGCGGAGGAGGGCCGCGAGAAGCGCAACTGCGGCGGGCGGAATGGGGGAATGACCAGCTTTCTCGGAAGTTGTGCGGATCCGAACGGGTTCCTAGCTGGGAGTTCATGATTGTGCCCCCGATGCGGGGCGGTCAGGTAGGTTGGGGTGCTAGGGGTGGTAGGGGTGGTGGTCGCGGTGTGGGGTGCGGTGGCCGTTGCGAGGTGGAGCGTGGTTTGCGGGGTGGAAACGAGCGAGAGGCGCGACGAGGAGGCCGCGAGTAGCGGGGATAGCGGTGGCTGGGGAGGCGAGTGACTGTAAGGGGGATGCCGCGAGTCGGGGGTGGAAACATGCTCGGGATTGACGGATTGAGGGAGAACCTCAGGCCTCGCAGGCAGTAACGCGTCAGCTGTCATCCCGGACTGACGGATGGCCGTCGCGCAGGTAGTACTGCTGCTAGTAGTAGCAGCAGAGGAGGCAACGGGTGGTAGGCGCCGCCGCTGAGGCGGCGACGTCGCTGATGTTAGACACGCTGAATCCGAGTCGCTCCGGGGACGCGGCCGCAGCAGCGCCGGAAAACCGAACGGCTCCGCGCTGCAGAAACTGGGCGGAAGGGAGGCGCGCGCAATAGGAGGCATTGAGGACAATTTTTTAGAGGCTCAGCGGGGTGGCTCCCAGGGTGGATGTGAAAGAAGAGTAAGAAGGATTTGCGCTATTTTGGATGCGGTGGAGGAAGAGGAATCGTGGGGAAGAACGCGTCGCAGCTCCCCTCGTGCTGCTGCTTCTGCTCGCCAAAGACTCACCTCTTCCGCTTCTTCCGCGCGCCGCCATCATCGTTGCCAACCCAAGGCCAGGCTTCGGCCACCGTCGCCGCCGATCCGCCGCTCGGTGTTAAGAGCGACCGGCCGCACAGCTCCGCTTGTGCCTGCTGCTCCGCCGCGCTGCGCTCTCTCCGCTCCGCTCCAGCCGCCACATCCCTCGCTGCGCCAAGATCCTCCCTCACCTCCAGCAATTCCGCGCCCCGAGCAGGCTGTTTCCGTGCCATCGTGGCATAACGCACGGCGGGAATTAATCCCCACCGTTGACTCCACCAGCCCGTCAGCGGAATCTGCGCCGACCGCCGCTGATGCCGCCGGCCTCTCGGGTCGTGAGGTGACGAGGGAAAAACGGCGCGGGTCGACGGGTTGCGAGAGAACCGTGTCGTGTGCGTGAGCTAATACGCTTTCCATCATATGGATGCCCGCGTGTATCGGTTAGTCGATCCAACTGTGACCACAATGAGAGACTCTACTACGACCTGTATAGATGATGTTACGCGGAGATTTGCACGACTTGACAGACCACAACTAGTAGTAGTCGCCGATGGATCTTATTGAGCGCTATGCCGCGGTTCCCAAGTTGTAGTCTCGCTGCCAATGGTTGTGATGTCATGTGATGTGAGCGCTCTATTACGGAGCCGAGGACGCTGTAACACGGAGCCGAGCTGAAAATATGTGACGAAAGGTTCTCCTACGGCATGTCCTAATCGGGAGCAAGGCAAGAGGGCTAAGAGAGACCCGCCATTGGCTGCAAGACGCGCTGAACAAGCGCAGGGTTCTGTTCTGACTTGATTGTGCGTTGCTTTTGCGCCGATAAGGGTTCTTCTTGTTAGCTGGAGGGATGGACAGCACAGATACTAAAGCCGAACTAAACCGCAGGGAATCTGAGATGCAAGCTGCGGAAACAAGCAAAAATATTTTCTGTTTTGATAACAGAAAGCCACACCGATAATGCTGATGTGTAGGATGGTCAGGAACAGCGTTGCCCCAAAGCAAAGCAAGCCGCAGGGATGGCTGGGCCGGGCTGGCATGTTTCGCGCGGGAAGAAAGATCCATCAGTCGCGGACTGAGGCAAAAGTGAGGCGAAAAAAAAATATTGCCGCCACCACATTGGCCACTGCCCGTAGCAGTCACGTGGGAGGTTGGGGAGAAAAGTACACACGCATTTTCTTCCCTGTCATCATTTGACTCCTCGTGATTCTGCACCCGTGAGTGAGCAGTGAAAGGTGCAATGCCGATGGAATCTGGATTCTCGACAGCTCATCACAGATTCACAGCATGTTGGTGGATGTGTCTTACGAACCTCCCGCCACTTGAGGTTTTGGATTGTGCGGATGACGTGAGGGTGGGGCCCTTTTTTACCTCCTGGCCGCAAATCCGAATCTACCCCCCACCATTAGGACGTGGGCTCAATCCAGTTTGATCGCGACTGATCTGATCTCGACGGATTGCTTGTGATCACATTGCTCGAGCCGCCCGATCAGCATGTATTTTGAGAAAGTTTTTCAGCGCCTGCACAGCAAGCGCGGTTGACTTACCTGGCAATCTCGTCCTCGTTAAAGCGATTCTGGCGACAAGAAGGCCAATTTGCGAAATGTTCTGTTTCCCTGCAATATCGTAAACCCCGTCCCGCACGTGATTGGGGGCTGTTCGAGAGAGTTTTCGCCATTTGCAATGTATGAGCGAGAGTTTCACGATACCCAGTACAGCTGTGTAAACTTTCGCTTGAGTCGTTATGGCCCCCGATCACATGCAATCAACTGATCGCGATCAGCTGATTGCCCTAGATTGCCTGAAATTGGCTTCCAGGCTTCCTGGAAGTTTTTGACTGCTGATCGAGGCGATCAAACCCGATAAGGCCCACGTCCTACCTGACCTGCTGCTGCTGCGAGGACCAAGCATTAGGACGTGGGCCCAATCGACTTTGATCGGTTCGGATCTGATCGGGATTTCTTGGATCGAATTGCTTGCGATCGTTTTTCTCGCGCCGCTCGATCAGAATTGATTTTCCTCGAGTATTCTGCGCTCTTGCATAACAACCGGTGGCCCATTACCTGATAGTTGCACCCCAACTTTGGCGAGATGGGCGAATCCAAGTATCGTGGTAATGTCGCAAATATCGCACTGCGCACAGGGTCCGCTCCAGAACAGTTCTCGCTGGTCTGTATGTATGAGCGAGGATTTTCGAGACCTCATGGCGAGGCGTGTTACATGTCGCTTACATCGCCCAGGGCCCCGATCACATGCAATCAAGTGATCGGGGCTGATTGTGTCTGATCGGGTCTGATCGGGCTGTTCGAGGCGGTTGATCGAGGTGGCGCGATCAGCTGATCGCGATCAGCCGATTGCCCCCGATTGCCTGAAATTGGTTTCCCGCCTTCCTCGAAGTTAATGAACGCCTCTGATCGCGCCGATCAAAGTCGATTTTTTTTTTTTTAGGTTTAACTATATTATAAAATATAGATACATCCGCAGTCGTAACTGTATATCTTGGAGGGTCTAGGCCACGCCTTGTGGACGCCGCACCACCCCCCTGTGGCATGCTACGGAGGTTGATGGAAAGTGCGCGGGTTGCGCCAGATGGAGAGGAAAGGAGCCGCCCAATTTGTTGGCCCACCATCATCGCAAATCTTCTGAAGCTGCACCTTCTCATCCGCAACCACATGGCTCCAGTTGTCTGTCTTCCAGAAACCTCTCCCTTCCTCAGCCGCTGCCGACCTTCCCCTTGCTGCCAGCACCACCCTCGCATGCGTCATGAAGTCCAGCACAGCGCATCTCCCCACCTTCTTTCTTTCGAAAGGAGCTGCGCGCCAAACTGCATTGCATCGCGCCAACCAGATCTGCCTAAGCACCACTGCTGTCAACTGTCGAACTTATATACTATAGTCTTTCTAGGCTGTAGTGGGGTAGACAGTATGGGGTACAGCTTTCTAGGGTTTCATATTTGTACCCAGCTCATTTCCTAGTTCACCATTCTCGTTCTAATTTTCACATGGTATAGAGCAGGTTCCCTAGTGGGAACGCTTCCTAGGGCCCACCACGATCAACTTTTTTTTCTCCTGCCCGGAGCGCGCTTCACTCCTGCCCGAGTCGCGCCCCGTGTGCCCTCTCTCCCGTCGCGTCCCTAGCCCCTAGCGGCCCGACGCGCCCTCTTCAGGCCCCTCGCGGCCCCTTTCACAGCCCTTCGCGGCCCCTTACGGCCCCTCGCGGCCCCTTACGGCCCCTCGCGCCGCCCTTCGCGGCCCCTTCCGGCCCCTCGCGCCGCCCCTCGCGGCCCCTTCGCGGCACGACGCCGCCCTTCACGGCCCCGTCGCCGCCCTTCGCGGCCTCTCGCGGCCCCGTCTCGGCACGGTCGCCGCCCTTCACAGCCCCTCACGGCCCCTTACGGCCCCTCGCGCCGCCCTCTAGCGGCCCCGCCGCCGCCCCTCAGCGGCCCCGTTGCTGCCCTACCGCGGCCCCGTCGCCGCCCTCTAGCGGCCCCGTCGCCGCCCGCAGCGGCCCCGTCGCCGCCAGGGCCTCAGATTCCAGGAATTTTACCCTGATTTCCTGATGTTTGACCCCGGTTTTTTATTGTAACCCTGATGAATCAGCCTTTTTGTTTTTACAACCCTGATGAATCAGTGTTTTTCTTTTCCTAATCCTGATTTTCCAGTGTTTCTAGTTTGTCGACACTGACGAGTCAGTGTTGTATCAGAGACGACCCTGAAACCGAAAACTCCGTGATTCTCGCAGTTTTGCGCGCCGTCATCATGCATGAACCCACCCTGCACCGACGCCACCCTGCGGCGCGCCCAGATACAGTTGAACGGGTTAATTTCGGGCTGTGTTGGCAAAACGGCGTAAAGAGATTGGCTGTCCCAGCTGAAGCAATGTACCGTTGTCACGTTGGATAACCTACACTTGTCATTACTTTCCATTGATGTGCACAAACAACCAAGCCTAGTGGCCCAGTGGGCCAGTGGTCTGCCTTGTTCTTTCCACCAAGGCAGGGCGTGCTGGGGCGGCCCGCTCAGGCACCCCACGCAGGGGGTCTCGTGATTCTGCCATTCCAGCTCTCCAGACTCCATCCCTTTCCGAAACATCAATCTCTGCAGTCTCCCTGAAGCCTGCTCGGCAGGCTCTCTCTCTCCCAGGGTTTCTCGTTACTACTCACCGATTCAGGAAGGTGACGTGAACGCGCCATGGCGATCACCGGTGAGAACAGCTGCGGTGATGATGACGACGATGCACTTTACGCCGCCACCGAGATGCTGGAGGCCAGAACGGGACTAGATTTTCTAGTTTCCGCGCTCTCCCATGAAAAAGAGAAGCCAGGTCCCGTCGCCTCAGTAGCAAACACTGGTGAAGCGTCTGGCCTCTGCCGCGGAGACGATCGTCCCCAGCCCGCGCATACTGCTAAGCCGGCCGTGCCGTCAGCAGCCGGACCGAGCGTCCGCTTGCCATCTCGTGCGTCGTCGTCGAAGCCTCCGCCTCGTTACAAGCAGGCCGTGCTCCGTTGGGCCGATCCTACAGATCCTGGACGTCCTCTCGCTGATGCCGGCGAGTCGGTAAACCACGTTACGCCCACGCCATCTAACTTTAAAAAACCGTCACTAACCACTCTGATTTACGAAGAGGCCCTTGAAACGTTCAAGTCGACGTGGTCGACCGACTACCCATGGCTCATCCTCATAAAAAACACTGCTGGCATGCCTGCGTTCAAGTGCAGATTGTGCATCGACTTTGCAGGTGACGGTGGCAAGTGTGGCAAGAGTGGGCACGGTGCAACCGATCTTCAGACCCAAGCCTTCAAGCGGCATGCCGCGACGAACAAGCACCAGTTGGCCATCAATCACCAGAAGCAGATGCTAGCTCAGGCTGGGAAGCAGCCGCGAATTGACGAGCATACGCTCGCCAAAGATGACGAGACGACCCGCGTCATCAGCCTTCTGAAATCCCTTCACTTCACCACCCAGAACCATCTGCCGATGGAGACGTGGGTGCGCCTCGTTCGCTACATGGCTCAGAACGAGGTCCGCGCCTCGTTCTCACTGCTACGTGCTGCATGATTCCCCCCTTGAAGGCTACCCCATTGCAGGGACCCATGAGCGATGCGTGGAGCAGTGCACGGCGATGGCGGAGGCGCTCGTGCATAACCTGGATGAGCGATTGGGTTCACTCGACAAGCTGAGCGGTGTGAAGCTGTTCATGCCCGACGAGTGGCCCCATGGACGGCAGGAGCGTTCCA